ATACAAGTCATTCCTTGATGCAATTTAGACGGAATCTGTTATTGTTCAATTAAAGAATCGCTAATTTCAAGAGGAAAACTAAATTCCATAAAATGGCCATATTTCCATAGTAACGCAGTGTATCGAAAAAATGGCAAAGACGTCCCGAGGTATTGACCCAGTGATTCACCCAGCATCAGAAAGAACTTTATCGGATCCCCCATCTTTCTCATATTCTTCGCCAAAAAATCGAAATTTTTCGCCGCCTTACATTCACACCCTGTATAAGGAGAAGGATTTAAAAAAAAAATGTACGACGACACTGACGCATAGACCAAAGATGGCGCTTTGTTACAGTGGCTCACAATCCAAGATCGGCAAAAAAATGTAGAAGTTATAGCAAGTCAAAATTAGGCAATTTTTCGGGTGTCCCACTTCATCTGCTGCTTAGTTTATTAGATAAGTGACGTCATAGGCAGATTTCATAGTGTTGTATCTCCGTCAATTTTTGACTAAGAAGAAAAAGAAAAAACACGTGTTGACTTATTTTTCATGGACTATCGAAATCAGCAATAATAGTTATTTGTGTACCAAGGCCGTAAAGTTGATCTTTTTTGGCCGAATCAGAAATTTGCGGCCGAGGCGTAGCCGAGGCCAAGCAAATTTCAGGTGAGGCCAAAAAAGATCATTCGGCCGAGGTGCACACAAAATTTTTTAGGCGAGTGTTTGTTCTTGAAAAAAGAAGAAAATTCAACAGTAGCTTTAAACTTTATTGATCAAATAAATAATCCAGCAAAAGGTAGATACACAATTATTAATAACAAAAACTACGATAAAGTGATTATAGAAACTTGCCGACTTTTTCGCCTGGTATCTTACATTGAGCTTCTTTAAAAAAGCAATCAATTTTGAAAACTTGCTGATATGTTAGGTATTTCCGACTATAATTGTAAATTTTAACATAGAGTATAACATAGGTGGACCTGAAGACCATAACGTTGAGGATTATTTAATTTTGGCAAGAAAATACTTCTCCGAAATTTTTAATCATGCCGTTTTTTTTTTAGCATTTTATGTGGAAATTTGTAGCGGCCGTAAAGTAAAAGCGGCCGTGAAGTAAAAGCGGCCGTAAAGTGATAAAGCAAATGCGGCCGTGAAGTAAATGCGGCCGTAAAGTGAATGCGGCCAAAAAAGATATACTTTAGGGATGACATTGAGTCCGTAAAACTAATCTTTTTGTGACAGTCGCCTAAAATAGTTATTTGTGTACCAAGGCCGTGAAGTTGATCTTTTTTGGCCGAATTAGAAATTTGCGGCCGAGGCGCAGCCGAGGTCAAGCAAATTTCAGGTGAGGCCAAAAAAGATCATTCGGCCGAGGTGCACACAAAATTTTTTAGGCGAGTGTTTGTTCTTGAAAAAAGAATAAAATTCAACAGTAGCTTTAAACTTTATTGATCAAATAAATAATCCAGCAAAGATAGGTAGATACACAATTATTAATAACAAAAACTAGGATAATGAGAGTGTGATTATAGAAAAAATTGTTTATTTTCACCAAAGTAGCGGCCGTAAAGTAAAAGCGACCGTGAAGTAAAAGCGGCCGTGAAGTAAAAGCGGCCGTAAAGTAATAAAGCAAATGCGGCCGTGAAGTGAATGCGGCCGTAAAGTAAATGCGGCCAAAAAAGATATACTTTAGGGATGATATTGAATCCGTAAAACTAATCTTTTTGTGACAGTCGCCTAAAAAAAAATTTGATGCAAGTAGCCTATTGTCAAGTTTCAGATACAGCGCCCCCTAGCGGCAACAAAATTATTTAATTCTGTTATTTTTGTTATGCATTTTATTAAACAAAAAACTCTTCCAAATGACAACTGAATCATTGAAATCGACTGAAAAACAAAAAAGTTATATGACTTTTGTTCCTAACAAGTTTGAACCTTCCCCCACCTCTTATTTGAAGAGTTAGTGCAAAAAATCCTCAAAAAATTTTTTTTGTAAGATCATCAGGATTTCAATAATCATATTTTTAAAATAACTTTAGTGGGCGTTTTTGGAAGATAATCACAGTATTATGTTTTCGAGTGTTCGTGGCGCTTGTGCCTCCTAGCTGTCAACTTACACTTAAACTTGAAAACTATTTCCAGAAATTTCTCATGGCATTTTTTATGGGAAAAAAATTTACTTGGAAGCTCTAGGACAACTAGTTCCTGAGATATAGCCGGCTACCTCCTTAGGTGAAACACCCGGTACATGAGTAATTTCGGGTTTTTATCAATGACCTATTATCACAGATAGACAGAGTATTCCATTCATAAAATACTATTTGTTGTGTTGACAACATGTTTATAGGCCGGGGGATTTGGGGTGCGGGCGGTCCATGGTGGGGATAAGTCGCCCGATCTAAGTCCGGCCTCAACAGCTGTTCCCTACCATAGACCAGACATTGGACCAGACCCGATTGGTCCCGCTCCAAAATCAAAACGATGATATTCGAAAAGTATTCCAGACTAACACGAACATATCTTATGTATCGATTTTTTTTCAACATATACTAACCATCATCGCATAAAATAGAGACAACAAGATACTCTGGGCGAGAACGGAACGTATTACTATGACAATCATGAGGCGGAGTTTAGTCTAGTGCTGTGTTGCCAAGTGTAATTAAAAGGTCTGACTTTATACTCGCGTTAGAAAGAGAAAATAAATATTCCTACGACTAAATGTGGCATTTTAGTAGTGGGGGAGTTTCGTCAGGATAGAAAGAAATGGACATGTTGTCAACACATATTTTTGTTTATAAATCCGTCTATCTCTGGTAATAGGTCATTGGTTTTTATACAGAACAAAAAAAGGCTCTAGTCTGTGATCAAAATCACTAAAGTTCATTTAACGAGACAAGATAGTGGAAGTAAACAAACTTTGACAGGTAAGTCAAATTTTATTGGCTAGAAAAGCATTATACTCCGCCCTACGCAGGACCGTCTTAGGTTGTTTTCTATTTCTAGTCTCTGAATATATTTCTTTTTGGTTGGCATTGTAGGTATCCAAACATAAAAGCTTTGAAACAAAACAAAAAAAGGAAACAAATTTAATTGTAAACGAAATTAAAGGTATATTTTAATTTAAATTTTGCTTACAGAAATAATTTCTATTTCTGAAAAGCCCTGCCTCGTTTAGACCGCTTTTTAGGAACGAATTCTTCAGCGGAATCTGCTGAACTTGATATTGCTTGAATCTAAAGTGCTCACTAATTGAGTAATAATAATTCACCAAACACTATTTAAATAATTGCAAAATACTAGGAAATACGAAACCAAAACTTATTGACTCATATGACAATCTGACAATAATAAATGTCATTGGTTGTAAAAGGTGCGTTTACACATGCATGGAATTAGTGGCGCCAATAAAAACTGGCGCCCCAGTAAATTTCATTAGCAAGTGTAAACATGGACTTGCATACACATTTTATATTTGCATCCATAGTCCAAAAAAGTCTGCATCCTTCTGAAATCACTGGCGCCAGTGGTGACAAATTCGTACAGAAAAACAAAACTTGCAAGTGTAAACAAGTGCTTGCACGTTGGCGTCCGCTCGCCAGTTTTTCGTTTGATTTTCATTTCGGTTGCTGCGAGTTCTCCTAGAAGTTTTGCAAAAGCAGCCAAAGTGGCTCGACGACCAATCCATGGTTTAACCCGGAAACGGCCATTTTGTTGGTTGCGTTTCTTTTCCTGTATTTCTTTTATCTTTTTTTTTTTACTAAAAGTTTAGCGACTATTTTACAGGCTTCGGAAAGTTCACTCGACATAGTGCACACTGAGAAAAGCACTTTAAAAGTGAAACTGGCGTGCCACTTATTTCTGTTTTTCACACAAAGTGTAAACCTTTACTGGCGTGCAAATAGAACTGGCGCGACCACTGGCGCCACTACATCCATGCATGTGTAAACTCACCTTTAAGAAATAAGTGGCACGCCAGTTTCACTTTTAAAGTGCTTGTCTCAGTGTGCACTATGTCGAGTGAACTTTCCGAAGCCTGTAAAATAGTCGCTAAACTTTTAGTAAAAAAAAAAGATAAAAGAAATACAGAAAAAGAAACGCAACCAACGAAATGGCCGTTTCTGGGTTGAACCATGTATTGGTCGTCGACCCACTTTGGCTGCTTCTGCAAAACTTCTAGGAGAACTCGCAGCAACCGAAATGAATATCAAACGAAAAACTGGCAAGCGGACGCCGACGTGCAAGCACTTGTTTACACTTGCAAGTTTTGATTTTCTGTACGAATTTGTCACCACTGGCGCCAGTGATTTCAGAAGGATGCAGACTTTTTTGGACTATGCATGCAAATATAAAATGTGTATGCAAGTCCATGTTTACACTTGCTAATAAAATTTACTGGCGCGCCAGTTTTTATTGGCGCCACTAAATCCATGCATGTGTAAACGCACCTTGATTCATATTTTTGCAGTCCTTCTCTGAATATTTAAGCTCCGCCTGTTTGTTCACCTCTACTATCTCGTTTCGGGAAATGAACTTCAGGGTACCTATTAATCGAATAAATATACACGTCACTGGAATCATTTCTCCTGACGTCTCACAACCCGCGCTGCTCTATATGTCAGAAATGAGTCATAAGATTTAAAAAAAATGCAGCTATAAGCATATGTCACCTATTTATTTACGTTTAGCGCGATGACAGGAGTACTTTGTTCCGCAATACAGGGGCAGGATGTGTTTTTAATCCTTAATGGAATGTTGACAAACATTTTGGGTAAAGTTTCAGCCCTAATAAGCTTTTGCGAGATTAACAATTTTTTTGTTGAACAAATCAACAATTTCCTGATCAGCGTTGTCCCCCTGGTGCGCCTGTAGGAGTTGATTTTATTTTATTAAAGTGTTTATGCCACACGACAAAAATTGGATTATTCTTAGGTAGGTAAATGTTATAAAAAAGGGTTGCTGGCTCCCGGGCTATTGGTGCCATTATTGACAATTATTCGGCTAAATAAAAGACAAAGCTTTATAAACCTTATTTTAATTATGCAAAATATCGAAAATATATATATAAAAAATGCATAAAATATATCTACAAGAAACAAAAAAAAAAAGATATACAAATAAGGCCTTATTGCACAAATAAAAAATATCAATAAATCAGTTCTATATCTGGCAGTATGTTTATCCTATTCGCTTAAAAATTAGTGATCTATCTACATAAACCTATTTTTAATAATTTTTAAAGTTATTTAAAGAAAGTGATGATTGTTTAAAGCGTAAAAATATTTTAGATTGGACTAATCTGTGAATATCATCATCCAAGTTTACATAAAATATAATAAAAATAACACTGGATAAAATACTAAAAAATAAACTTCAATAAATTCAAGTAAGTATAAAAAAAATTATGAATATGTATGTACAAATATGATCTTCTAGACTGAGAAAAAAATACCACTAATAAGTTCTATTTCTATTTACAAGTTTTTTTGTCGCGAAGACCACATAACACGATAAATAAATATTGTTTTTCACTAAAGCACCATTTTCACACTATATGTCTCTATCCTACATACGGATAAGCTGGATATGGCGCTGGGAAATATCCTGGAAAAGCTGCTGTAGGTGCAACTACTGGGACTGATGCAGTGGCGTACGTAGTTAAAATAGTAGGAATCACTGTTGTGGAAAATACTGTTGTCAACGCCGTTCTTGCACCAAATGTCAGCTTGAGCACCTTACTATTGGTCTGAGTTACCACTGTATTATGAGTTATGGGAGAGGATGTTACAGTAAATTGTGCTTGAGGAGGTTGTTGTGGGAATAAGGGATTAATTTGTGGTATCTGAGGAAGTTGTGGGATTTGTGGCAATTGCGGTAATGGTTGAGGGAAAGCTGGTGCGATAGTACTTGTTCCAAATTCATAGTCAGTTTTAGTAAAGGTTCCTTTCACTTTCGATATGGTGCTTAAAATAGTATTGTGACCTTGTGTCACTGGAAGTATATGCGTTTCATAAACTGTTTCAACTTTAAGTACGGGTTTAGATGTGGTTATCACTTGACCTTGTTGACCTTGTGCTGCTGGATTTAGTAACCTCAATAACGCTAGCTGTTGTAATTGCTCAGGACTCAAATTGGGCTGTGGCAATGGCAAATCGGTATTCAGAGTAGGTTTCTTTTGTGCTCGTCGGCTCTTTAATTCTTGTTCAATTTTAGCTTTATCAGAGTCAGGTAATTTGAAGTCGGTGCCAATGTTGGCCAAATCCAAGTCAGCTGGTAAAATTTTCTTAGGTATAGCATCCTCATCCTGTTCGTTACTATCTCCAAATTCAAGCTCAAGATGGAGCTCGGATCCGGCCTCGTCAAGCCTACTATTAAATTCATTAAGCGTCTTGCTAGGATTAAAATGATACGCCTCCATTGGCGGCAGAGTTTTCGTGGCAGTAACTAACCGGGTTATTAAGTAGGTCTGCACTAAAGTGGAGATAGTCGTGTCATTGACGCCTCGAATTACGGGCAGAATGTGTGTCTTGAGCATTGTCTGGGTCGTGCTGAATGTTTCTGTAAGTGTTTCGAGGGGTGGCGTTGCTACATCTGATGCAAGATAAATGGGCGGCAGCGTGGCGATGCTCGAGTCTAAGTTGTTATCTTTCGCGTAGTTGCTTGTCGAAGCGAGAATATTTTCTGTTAATGGTTCCGTTGGGGAGAGGATTGGTGTAGCTTCCGTGCTTTCCAGAGTTTTTTCAAAGGTCGACGTTACGGTTATATAGCGGGTGTTCTTTACATTGCCGACCTATAACAGAAATTTATTAGCAAAAAAATAATTCCGATTTCACATCCCCCAAATTGTCCGTAAACTCTCATTACGCTCGACGCTTATCTCTACATGTTAGCCTCGGAATAAAACGGGTGTCTTGATTATAGCAATTTCGACAGGAAACGGCCAAGGGGAACTCCGAATTTTCAATTTTAGTGTTCGAGAATGCGGAATTAATGTCAGTGGGGTCCGCGTAATATATGAACGTTTACGTTTTACAACTGTGCAATATTAACAGTTTGCTGATATATGTCTATGCGGGAATATAAGCAAGAGGAAATCGGTGATAATTTCAAAGATTCTATTTTAATTTTATTTTTATATCTTTGGAATAATTAGAAAAGGCAAATGTATTTTATTGGATGACGTTTCAAATTCATCAAATACACGAGGTTGTAGAGGAATTGACAGTTTATTCCACCAATTTATCGTCAAATTCTTAAGATTTTTTTCACTGATTTGAAAGTTGCAGAAGTATTATTAATAACTATTCATCAAAAAAAGTTTTATTATCATTAGGTACTTTGGAAGTCCTATATGTTGAAGAAAGAAGTTTCCACTAATACATCAGCTAAGAATTTTCCCTGTGCATTTTGATATATGATTTATTATTTATGACATTGAAGTTTTGTAGTTGTACTTGTCAGAATAAAATAATATTTCTCATTGTAAAAACGTTCTAAGTTTATACATCAATCTTTACAAGTCTTTTACTTCCTACTTCACATCTGTCCTGCGTTTACTTATTGCTTACACTATATAATTTTTGGTTTTCGCCTATAAAAACCATTCCCTAAAAAGCAATTTGCCTCATCCATATCAGCCGTAGAAAATTCTATCAATTTGAAATTTAATTTCCCACCCCTAAATGAAAAATTCTAATATCTTATCCGGAGCTCCGATGAATAAAGGCCTCTTTCAAAGACTAGTACGTACGTATAGGAGCCCACCCCTCTATCTTCTTGACATGATAAAATATCCCGCGGAAATTATTTTCGCTTTCTCAGAGCTTTAATAAAGCCGTATATTTCTACGCCCGCCACTTTTCTACTCTATAATGACTCTTTTATTGTATTACCTGTGATACGTGTGGAACGGCTTGATTATGGCACTTTCGAAGCGATACTAAAGGGGGATTAAAATATCTAATTTTGGGGGATGTGCGTGTATCTGAAGATTGAAACTTTGAACCGTGATTCTATTAGAAAAGCAATTTTGCTGGTTATTTTAGACAGTGCCTACCTGGAATGTATATGGAGATTTTATAGTCGCAATCTCATAATAGACATCCTTAAAGTCTGGAGGGGTAGAAATTTCAACTTTCAAAGTCTCCAAGGGTAACGTGGGTCCATCCAGTTTGTTTTCGGTTGCACTTTCGTCGTCAATAATCGTTGCAATAGACTCTGATCCTTCGAGGCTATCAACATCGTCCGATCTGGCCTGCGGGGTTACCCCAACTTCGTTGTTTTGCTGTTGCTGGACGGATGTCTCCGGCTTTACGGACGATGGAATTTCTATTGTCTCGTTATTACTGGTGACTTCATCATCGTCGCTTGGTTTACGGAGAATACTCACGCGAGGTTTGGGAGTGGTTTTGTACTGCCATCTGCCAGGGGTTCTGAAATTGATATTGACTTTAATATTAATGGAACTACATATTTTAAATCAAATTAAATAGAAATGCTTTGTTTTTCAATGCAGGCATTTATCTACTGAAGGACGACGAATGATTTATTTCTTATTATAAAACCAAGTCTAAGTGTCATAATTCCGAAGGAATTTCCGTCATTTACCAAGCAAGAAAGAAAAAAACAACATAAGTCAGGAACAAAAACTCACAGAGTTTGTCGAGAGGGGTTATCTATTAAACATTTCGAGGGGGAAAGTTTGCATTACTATCTGGTATTTTTAACGGATGTAGAGAAAAAGGAGTGGTCCAATGAATAATTATCGATAAAGAAGATGAAGGCTCATGACCAGTCACTCTGATTGATAAAGATCAAATGATGCCGACGATGATGAGAAAATACATCTCCTAAGGCAACAGGGCTGTTATGAAAAATAAAATTTTTCTTCAACACACCATAGCGAAACAACTGGACTTACGCGAAGCAGATGAGCATACTGGCCACTTTCTGCGCTGAAAATCTACAACTTTCAAAGTATGTGAGGCTTTCGCGGCCCAGGTTTATTGATAAAGTGTTTTCATTCGGGCTTGATGCCCGTCGTAGGTTTGAATTTCTTCCTGACGTTCCGCTAGCACACATGACGAGCATCTTCAGAGGTGCTTCCATGTCCGATTGTGGTAGCAGACTGACGCGTTCCCGACCACAAGTTGTATTTATATGTGAGTGGTTGTGATGGGAGAGGGGCAGGGCTTCGCAGCACGTGGCTAATCTGAACTTTCTCTGTAGTCAATGTGATCTTTCTTGAGTTTTCAAGGATCAGGTTACAAATTTGGTTTAGTTTTGGTGTTTATTTTTTCCTCTTAAAGTTCTCCGTATGTTTGTGGATTTCTATAGCTTCACGTACAAGACGATTGTGATGTGGTGTCGGTGCAAGAAGCTTGACTTCACCAAATAGTATTTCGCGATTCCCTTCACTAAGCGCATGTTTCGCTACTGCCGATGTTTCCGATTGTCCTAGTCTGCAGTTTCTTTTGTGCTCGTTCATCCTGGTTCCCATTGATCTTTTTGTTGTTCCTATGTATATCTAACCACATGTGCATGGTATATTCGATAGATTCCAGCGCTTGAAAGTGGGTTCCTCTTATCCTAGGCTGATCTGATTGATTGCTGTATTTTCCTTGTTGGCTTGAAGATTTATGTTGTGTTTCTTTAAGACTTTCCCTATCCTGTCTATCACCCGAGAAATGGAAGGCAGATATGCATTAGCCACCACCGGTTGTTCATCCACGTTTTGTTGTGTGTCCGTTTTGGGTCGCATGGCCCTATCGATTCCAGATGCATTGTATTCATTTGATAGAAAGGCCGACTTGAGGTGATCCAGTTCTTGCTCGAGATGTTGTGGCTCGCAGATGTTCCGATCACGTTCTGTTAACGTTGTTATAGTTCCACGTTTTTGCCTTGGATGTTGGTTTGAGAGTGCATGCAGGTAATAGCCAGCACTGAAACAACTACCTGATGTGGAAGCAGAAGAAATCCGTATTCAAACGGCTAATATTCTACGAAAAGCTCGACCACCAAGCAGTAACGTCTCTAAGAACGAACTAATGGCAATTAAGAACCGGAATTCAGCGGAAGTTATGATCATCCTACCTGCGGATAAGGGCAACGCAACTGTCCTGTTAAGAACTGGAGACTACAACCAAAAAATTCAGGAACTCCTTGATCCATCTACCTACCGAAAACTCAAGAAGGATCCCACCCAAGCCATACTCCGGAATACCAACAAACTGATTAGGTCATCTACCCTAACAGACACGGTTAAAAAAGGAATCATAGAAACGGAAGCGGTTCCACCACGACTTTATGGCCCACCCAAAATTTACAAACCTGAAGTGCCGCTAAGACCCATAGTGAGAGCACCTGGAGCACCAACGTTCAACCTAGTGAAGCATCTTGCATCGCTTCTTCAACCGCATGTAGGAAAAACTAGCTCTTATGTCAAGGACTCTACTCACTTCGTCCAGAAAACTAGAAATATTATTCTCCAACCTGAGGATATCCTGGTCAGCTTTGATGTCGTGTCTCTATTCACAAAAGTGCCATTGACGGAATCTCTTGACTCGATATCAAGTACCTCTCCCAATGACATAGTTGAGCTTTTCCGGACATGTCTCACTGGTAGTTACTTCCTGGGGAACGGCGATTTCTACGAGCAAACGGACAGTGTAGCTATGGGAAGTCCGCTAAGCCCGGTCATACCCAACTTCTTTATGGAGGAATTCGAGAGGAAAGCTATCGAATCTTTCGACCACAAACCAACGGTATGGCTTCGATATGTAGATGATATCTTTGTGGTTTAAAATCTTGGGGAAGAGAAGCTTAACCAGTTCCTAGGCCACCTGAACGCGCAACATCCCAACATAAAATTTACCATGGAAAAGGAGAAAACTCAAGAAATCGGCTTTTTAGTTGTACTCATACCTAAAGAAATCTAGAGGAAAACTAATCCACACAATGTACCGAAAACTCACACACACAGACAGGTACCATCGTCACCAAAAGTAACTGGGACAGCATCACATTTGCTTTTGACCTATTATATGAATTTTATTGTCAAATATTTGTCAAACTATGAATTAAATGCATTGAAATGAATGACAGTAGAATTAGTCCAGGAGATTATTATGCATTATTTGTGTCCCAGATACTTTTGGTGACGATGGTACCTGCATGCACTCTCAAACCACCATCCAAGGCAAAAACGTGGAATTATAACAACTTTAACAGAACATGTTAGGAACATCTGCGAGCCATAACATCTCGAGCAAGAACTGGATCACCTCAAGTCGGCCTTTCCATCAAATGGATACAATGCATCTGAAATCGACAGGGCCATGCGACCCAAAACAGACACACGACAAAACGTGGATGAACAACCAATGGTGGCTAATGCATATCTGACTTTTATTTCTCGGGTAACAGATAGTCTAAGAGCCAGTGAATTTTTTTCCGTAAAAAGTTGCCGATGGAAAATTTCATGCTTAAACGATGTAATATTATCCCTCGAGATCGAAAACCATAGTCTGGCAGCATGTAGTAGGGAAGTTTGGCATAGGCATAATTAATAAGTCATTAAAAAATTCACGAAAATCGAACTATTTGCCGATGGTCAATTTTTGCGGCATATCATTCAAAAATGTTCCCTTAACAAGGCTGTAATAATGCCAGACGATTTTCACGGGTTTAAAGCCTTGCCAGACGCCCCCAGATTGCAAAAAATATATAAAATTTTCGAAATACTTGCCGAAACCTTTTTTTTTTTTAAATTATGAGACAAAAATTGTGAATCGAATGGAAATATTGTCACGACGCGGCTGTAGACGGAGTCGTGGTAACCACACGAGTACTATAATGAGCGTTACCGTACGTGTGATATACATTTTATCTACAACTCAGATTTTTGTTTTATGCATTCGATGGTTCTGATTTTCCACAACAGATTATTCGGTGAGCTTAAAGCTCAAGGCTGGAAGAAAGAATTTTCTCAACAAGGACTTCAAGCAACACTATCAGCAGCATCAGGTAGTTCTACTTTTAATATTCATAAATAAAAAATAAGTTACGTAATGAGCCTATTAAATGACTAGTGATATAAGAAGCTCATTACATCACTAGTACGATAATACAACTTATAACGTAACTCAAATAGGCTAAAATGGGTAACATTATCGTAATAAGCTCTCATAGTATGGATGGGTGGGTCGTATTTAAAATGAAAAAATCATTATTAAACAAAATCATACATAAAACCTAGCTTATTTTATATTTGACATTTGAATACAATTATAAATCGATAATTTAGATTTTATTTTATGTCAATTCATTGTTCACTATTCAATTATTTTATTTCATTAATAAATTAACAGAAAAAAAAGAAATATAATTATATTACAATGAATTATAAAGTACACGTAGGTACCTGAAATGGTCGCGCCGATTTATAAAATTGAGATGGTCCAAAAAAATGTTTATTTGGGTTAGGAATATACCAAACCTCACAGCAATGAACTAGAAAGAGAAAAGTAGCCATCAGTATATAGCTATCTTTGGACAGGACACACTAAGAGAGAGACAAATGTCATGTCCGACAACGGTGGGATCCATTCTTGTTACGTGTAGTATACCGGGCGTCCCACCGAAAGCTGTCAATGGCCTATATCTTGAAAACGCTAATCGATAAAGAAAAAACTCGTTTGAAGGGGAACCAAAGCAAGGTACTTTTCAGGTCTCCCCGAACCACCACTCCGGCGGTAGCCATCCTAACCTCAAAATCTTAAATGGCACTATGGGTCATGTGCTATCGTGTTTGAAAGGTTTTTTAATTCTCTAAACGAGTCTGCGAAAAAAAATTATCTAGATACAATTTTAAATTGTCAGAAATAGGCCATACTTCGAGTTAACAACTTTGCCCCCTTGAGGAGGTGAACACTGTCAGGTCTGTCAGATACAGTGAGAGGAAAGGGGTTCAAAAAAATAAAACCTTGATGATTTTTTCAAAATTCTCCATGTTATTAATTTTGTATAAAATCGATCCCTAATCACATTTATCTGTTTCACCAGATCAAATGAGATTTTCAAATTGAATCATCACATAACCTATAGTACCATTTAGGATTTTGAGGTTAGGGTGGCTACAGCTGAAGGAAAAGTTCGCGGAGAGCTGAAAAGTACCTTGTTTTGGTTCCCCCTCCCAACCCTCCAAACGGGTTTTTCTTTTTTTTATCAATTACCGTTTTCAAAATATAGGCCATTGACAGTTTTCGGTGGGACACCCGGTAGGTATAGTTCTTTCATTGATGTATTATTATACAAACGCTTTTGTTCCACTCATTCCTTGTCTTTCCATCTCATTTGCTCTCGTACGGAATCACCGACATGTGGCTGCGGCATATTATCCGCTCCCAGACGCGGGGAGGGGATAATTAGTGCGTCCACGAACGCGTAAAATAACGAACTTCGGCGTCGTCTGGCAAGGATTAATCCTCGATAAAACCGTCTCGCACTAGGTTTGTTCGATTAGCAATTTTTTTCTCTTTAATGTAAAAAAAACAGGTTTCGGCAAGTTTTTCGAATTTCTTATTATTATTTTTTTTGGGAGCGTCTGGCAAGACTTTAAACCCGTGAAAACCGTCTGGCATTATTACAGCCTTGTTAATGGAACTTTTTTGAATGATATGCCGCAAAAATTGACCATCGGCAAATAGTTTGATTTTCGTGAATTTTTTAATGACTAATTAATTATGCCTACGACAAACTTCCCCACTACATGCTGCCAGACTATGGTTTTTGATCACGGAGAATAAAACTACATCGTTTAAGCCAGAAATTGTCCATCGGCAACTTTTTACGCTAAAAGTTCACTGGCTCTTAGACTAAGACAGGATAGGGAAAGTCTCGAAAAAACATAACATAAAAACGATCTTCAAGCCAACAAGGAAAATACAGCAATCAATCAGATCAGCCAAGGATAAGAGGAACCCACTTTCAAGCGCTGGAGTCTATCGTATACCATGCACATATGGTAAGGTATACATAGGAGCATTAGGAACAACAAAAAGATCCATGGGAACCAGATCAACGAGCACAAAAGAAACTGAAGACTAGGATAATCGGAAAAATTGGCAGTAGCGGCACATGCGCTTAGTGAAGGGAATCACGAAAAACTATTTGGTGATTTCAAGCTTCTTGCACCGACTTCCGGATACCACAATCGTCTTGTACGTGAAGCTATAGAAATCCACAAACATACGGAGAAATTCCACGGGAAAGAAGAAACACTAAAACCTTACCAAATTTGGAACCCGATTCTTCAAAAACGCAAGAAAGATCCCACTGAATTCAGAGAAAGATCAAATTAGCCACTTGCTGCGAAGCCCTGCCCCTTTCCCACCACAACCACTCACACATAAATACAACTTGTGGACGGGAACGCTACTACAATCGGACATTGAAGCACTTCTAAAGATACTAGCCGCGCGTGCTAGCGAAACGTCAGGAAGAAATTCCAACTTACGACGACCATTAATTCCGAATGAAAACACTTCATCTACAACTTTATTAACAAAAGCATCAGGGCCTTTGTACACTCTATACTCCGATTCAGTTACTAAGCTAAGGCGCATCTGAGGGCGCATCAAAGGAAGCGACGAGGTACCTAACTTTTATGGATAACTGGCGACATAGACAATAAACTTAGCACCTCGACCAATCATCCATTAGACCCTAAATACGATGAAACTTTACATAGCGACCAATATCAGATAGATATCCAGAGACGAAAAAATTATAGAGCTTGAAGAAGAACTGGATAATATCAGATGAACTTTACTGAAACTCTGTGAAGTATAGCGAAGATTCGCAATAAGGACTCAGAATACAAAATTGTTAGCTTTGGACACCTATCTGAAAATGAGAGAGGCGAAAGGCTCTATGAATACATTGGACAATAAAATCTATAATCTCAACAGATATACATCTCGCTCAGACTGTGAAAAACGAAATATGACCAGTAATGTATCTCATTTATCAACAGATTCACTTCAGGCAGTGATCATAGATTTCTAGGAGCTAAAATCTTAATCGGGCTGAATTTTGAAGCTTGACTCTCATTAATTGATAGTGCGCGGAGGAGAATCTCGAAGCTCGCTGGAAAGAAGCATTCAAAAAGAACTAGAAAAAAATGACATGGAAAACATCAATAATGTAAGAAGCGAGAAAAAAATAGCTAAGAAGGGAAATAAAGAGGAGGATAGTTTAACCACCACTGCAACAAGCTGAGTGAGCTATGAAGTACAAAAAAACATAGAATACAAAAAAATCAATGAAATAAATACAAACACCTCTCAAAGAAAAAAAATATTGGAGTAATGACAAAAATAATCATAGAAGAGACCAAAGAGGGTCTAAAATGCATTAAACAGAACGATAAAAACATGCGCAACAAAAATGGGTACGAAGCAAAAGAAATGAACCAGAACAAACTCGCTCCAGATGTGGAAGCTTTTCTCGTGACCAATACATAACTAGCGAAAAATAGAAGATTTTGCTATTTTACCAGAAAGAGGTAAATAAGATGAAAAAAGATGCAGCAACGCCCATTGCGCAAGACTAGGCAAAACGTACCAAATCAGGTTAGACTTAGTTACGTAGCAATCCTTCTTTCTTATTTGCACGGGATAAAAAGGGAAGGACGAAGATCGCGTGACGTGCATCGTATTTTAAAATTAAAAACCGTTCAAAAACTAAAATAATGTTTAAAGTTTCATAGCTACCCCTTTCTTTTTTATTCTAATCGGTGACGTCACCGATGAGTTAGCTATTTTTGTCTAGTAAATAGAAAATGACAATGACCGACATGGAATGGTGGTTCCATCGGTAAAATCTGATGAGAATAAAAATTGATGCGGTCTTGAAAATCGATCACTTGTCAAGGTACCTCAAGTTGAACATCAACCCTAATTTCATCCTTGTCAGATCACGGACAAGGAACAAGGACAAGTAGATGCCCAACGTGCAAAACGAACACCTGACATCTGTACTAGCTAGCCATTAAAAAGGCATTGCCGTGTGTTGCGCGCGCATACAGGTAAGAAAAGATAGGTCTATTCGAGAAATTTTCGATGAAAGTCAGGTGTCAGTTATTCAGTTTGACAATAGATATTTTTCTGCGGTTGACAAGAAATGTCAGCATTTTTGACCGGTTGGCAGGTCGCAAAACTCATTATTCTGGTATTTCAATTATGTTTCAATAGTTGCTAAGGAATCAATGAATAACAATACAGGAAACACTTTTCCGGCCTAGGCCGGGAAAGTGATTCTCGTAAATTTTTTCCCGGACGAATAACTTGCAATATTTTATTTCACAATGCTTTTTTGAAAGTTACGTTTTGAAATAATAAAGTGTTTTTAATTTGCATCGTACACCTGAAAATTACCAAGTACCTGTTCACTGGTGGAAACATTGTTAGTACTGACGTACAGTTTGAATTTGGCATTTCAGTCCGAAAATGTTACCGGACTAGTCCGGTAAAAACTTTATTTTACCGGACTCAGTACTGTTAAAGTTCATTTTCCGGACTAGAACTAAATACGTAAAGCTGTGTAAACAGAAACTTTTCATAACCACATGTCTTAGAAAATAGCTTATAACTTGAATAGGAAATTGTAGGTCTTGCTTTCGCTGCAAATGTTAAAATAGGCCCTTATCTTTTCTCCCCATTTTTTTTTGGAAGTTTGAAAAGATTTCCGAGTGGTATCACAAACATTATTGACATTTTAATCTTAATAATGGAAGATCAATCCAAACATAGAAGCCTTTAGGTAAATAAATTTCCAAAGAAGATAAATGCGGCCGACTTTGACTTCCATTAAATACAAAAGCTTCCAGGGCTATTGATTAATATTCCGAAACGTAAATGCCTAATTCATGCGGCATTCAGCCAAACCATTCCACCGTAAGCCTATTTGAATGTCCGATATGTGTCCTACATTCACACTTCGACAAGTTGGATTAAAGGGTAGGTTTAGAAGATAAACTGGTGCTATATATAGAATAGAGCCATTATACTATACTGTTTGGGCAACAATGTGTGGTTTGTTAAATTCGGTTTTCGTTCCGAAATAAGTAAATCACTTTGCTTGATAAATAAGCTACCTACATCAAATTCGGAACTTGCAACTTATGCACGGTTTTAGTCCCAAAAAATCTCTCCCGCAACCACATCACGTATAATACATTTCGTTATGTTTACCTCGACCCCTTGGAGGGTCCGCAAGTGTTTTGGTAATAATTATCACCTTTCTTGTGGGCAACAAGTTTAGATACCTTGCTTAATTATTTAATTAAGGTTTATCAACAGGCAGTTTCAGAAAGGTTGCGGACCCAATATTAACGTTAATATTAATTGTCTTCTCTTGCTTGTACCCGTCCTTGCGATCTGGGAAAATCCAATTTCAATTAATATTGAACGGACACTTTATTATTTTCAGAAACTTGAGGCATCACTTTTCATAAAACTGCTTATATGCTGAAAATTATTAAAAGGTCCTCCATATGGATAAAGAGCTACGCTTTTAGTTGAAATGTTTATCCAAAAAGGGCTTTCCAGCAAAACGAGATCCATTTGCGATATGAGTGGAGAAATACTGATACTCGGTTCGTATAATAAAAATGCACATGCGAAATGAAAAAATCCAGCTTTGATCTGGCTAGCGGAACATACTCTTTTTAATTGGTATACACAGAAATATTAAAAGGCATGTCACATAGGTATCACATAAGTTATTAGGGCAATACTCTGTTTTCCGTTTTGTCATAGACTAATTAATTTCTAATAAAAAATTAAACTCACCTATTTAACTTGAATTTAAACAAACTCGTAGATGCTTGTCCAGCGTTTTGATCCACCGTAGACGTCTGAATCCTTGGCTTGTAACCTCTCCTGCTAAATCCAGCATTATTCTTTTCTTCGCTAGTCACTGTGGAAGCTCTATTAGATTTCCTTCTATTGTTTCCTGAAGAAAACCGCTTGCCAGATGATGCAGTGGTTGGCTCGTCGCTATAGGCAGTTGGAGGAGGAGTTGTAGAGGATTTTGATGATTTTGATTTGCGATTGGTTTTTCGATTCCCCCGACCATTTTTTGACTGTCTTTGAGAAGACGTGTTGTGTCTGTATTTATTTACATTTGTGTTAGTGCAGTGTCTGTGCTACCAAGCTTTAGAAACATGCTAGTTGCAGACAGAATTGTTAAAGAAGGAAGTGAAATAAAAGAAATTTATGCTTGCATGCTCAGTCACTTTAAACATACATGATTTACCTTTACGTGATATAATACTGGAATTTATTATTTTCCATTTATTAAGTAGGTACTAGGTGTGCTATCATTGGATTTGCTCAATAGAAACACGTTTATAGTTTTTATGTTCTGATTAGTTTATGTAGACTCCGGTCAATTTAAACATGCAAGGGTAAAAAAAATCGAATGGAGCTGAAAATTGGTATAAATGTTTAGACCACCAATATAAATAAATGGTAAAAGGTCCCCATCGATTCAAGAACAATAGTTTCAATGATGGGTTTTTCGCGCTTTTCAGAAAAACGGTAAGTTTTATCATTTCACAAAATTAGGCAGACAAAAATTGTAGATCATTTAATTATCTATAAAAAATGTCTGAACACTTTTTTCATAAGAGCTACCGATTATGAGATATAACGATTCTTAAAGTTGAAAAAGTTGTAATCTCCATAATATGTACACGGCACCTGTGAAGCAGTGTACTGAAGCGTTTTTTTTTGTCATACTGTCTGTTAGCTTACTATAACATGAGCGAAATTGAAACTGAAAATGTATATTTAACGGACGCCGGCCGTTATTTATCCGCCGGTCGTTATTTATCCGTCGGCCGTTATTTATCCGCCGGCCGGTTAAAGTATAAATAACGGCCACCGGCCGTTATTTTCAAACATTGTAACGTGCCAAAATTGCTTTTGCCTATTTCACACTTATTTTTAGTTTTCCATTCAAAATTCTTATAGTTATTTAATTTTTTCCTGATTTTATTAGGCTTTGTTTACATTTTTCCTTTATAAAAATTCAAACACAACAGTAGTTGCAGATCCTGTAAATTTTCTAATCTTTATTATTTAAATTCTATTTTCACTTGTGAGTAGTTCTTGTGACGACTAATGATTTTCCTCGGTTTTAATTGATATTTTAAATCCATTTTCCAATAAAAGATCTTCATGTAAACAAATCAAATATTTCTTATTTTTGGTTCAGGTTTTCCAAATAGTGGTCCGTCCACGAATTGTGTACCGCATGCTGCTCGTACTCTGTTCGGTTGCTGAACTCAGTACCAGATTTAGTTCCGAAATCCGGTTCCCTAAATGACCGGGTTGTTCTCTATTCTATAGTGACACTTAAGTCATGTCACTTGTGATTTGTGTGCCAGCTGATTGGGGAACTGTCGATCATTTTTATCAATTGGCCTTTGGATTAGTAATGTTTTTGGGATCATCGATTCCTTTGTAAACATTTACGTTTTGCAACACGAATTGCTTATTCAGTATCGTTTTCTTTAAATTATGATTGTTCTAGTGGTTAATTACTTGTTGTTATTATCATTAGCCGTCAGCTATTGTCATTTTTCTCAGAATATATTGTTGTGTAATTTTTGGTACTTACAAATTTTCTTGATTTATTTTTGACATTTGTCGTTACTTTGCCTCATCTCTATTCTTCAAATCTAGGACAGCTAATTAATAACTTGTGGTGAATATTCCTTTAACGATTTGGTTGTTCCGAGAAAAGGGTCACTCTTGAAGAATTTAATTTTGTCTTCCCCTTAAAGGGAATTTTGGACCTGATTTTCTCAGTTATTGAATTTATGGTACATTGAGTTGCCTTACGTTGCGTTACGTTTTCGTAAAGTGCCATAATTTCGCCGATAATTTCGGATTTTAAAGAACCATTTCGGTAAGTTTTGCTTTGCACGATTTTCTCCACAAGATATTCTGACTTCTTCTATTTGATTATTAGTGGAGAGCTGCCCTAGAAACCACCATATTCTGTCCAGGATCTCGAGTCTCAACTAATCAAGTGGATAAGAGTATCTTTGTGGCAAATAAACCCTATTACAACCGGTGAGACATAATCTAATAACCTTAAATTGTCTTTGCAAATTCGAGGCAAATTTTCTTTTCTATTGAAGCTTTATCAGATTTTGTCTAATTTGATTAATTATTATCATAGATACAGATATTATTCAATTGTTCTATTACAATAAATTTCAAGAGCTATAGTTTCACCCAGTAAATCTAATATTCATAATTGACTAACTTGCAATGTAAATTCATTTTCTTTTCTTTCTTTCTGTCTATTCATAAAGTGCCTGGCTAAGGTTGAGTTACAAATACCGTGTGTTATAACAATTTTTCTCTTAGGGCTTTTACTCACGGCTACATTATTGAACCAAACACAATTTTAATTGTAATCGAGATTTTAAGGCTATTTCTACCAAGCCTAAGCCTTCTAGTTGGACGGTTACACAATCCTTCTGGACTGTGATTTCGAACCTTAAGATTGGTTTGATCATCTTAACCACAACCAGTACCCAGGACTAAGCTGGTTAATTTTACCTACTGCTACCATCTGGAACATTTTTGTATGGTACTAGCTGTGGTTATCCTATCTTTATTTTATTATTTATTTACATTTTGCCTCTATTTTATGCGCCAAAGTGATCACCGCGGTATGCTTAAGGAAACCAATAGTAAATATTATAGGAAATTCAGCTGGGCATTACCTGTTTTAGGTGGTTGATTATTTATGGCAACTCACTTTAAGTTCTGGTTACATCACTGTAAGGTAACCGCTCCGACAACTAATTATTTTATTTTCGTTTTTCTTTATTTTATATTTTCAATTTTTACACTTAATTCAATCGTTCATGACTGTAGAATTTATTTCTATATCATAGACATTACTGTATTACATTAGCTTTGGTTAAGCACTTGTGTTTTCCAAAAAATCCTCTAATAACTTGGATTCGATACACTGCCAAGTATTTTTTGAAAAGTCCAAAATCTTATTTAATTACTGTATTAGTTTATTGATCCTTCATTAAGAGATCACTAATCCAATTAATTAATGACAATTTATCTGTTGCTTCGTTGTAAACTATAACCACAAATTATAAAACCACAAGATTGGTAAATTTGTGACTTTATTATAATATATTTTTTTTGATAATCAATAAACAGACTCCATAGCACTTGATTTATATTGACTTTTCTTTGGTTTTATGATCTCAGCCTAGTTTTAGCATTTCTTAAATATACAGGGTTAGTAAAAAGTACTGCAACACTTAACTATCTTCAAAACTGCTTAGGCCGCGTTCACACAATTCGGAATTTGATAGTTTTCAGGCAGGCGGAATTCAACAGTGCTATGATGCCAGATTTCCCAGTTTTGCGCTACACTTAGTCTTTTCTTTTTGTTATCTTAAGTAGAATGCCCCATTTATTTTCAGAATTCTATCTCTACTAGTTGCTGAAATATGACAACACCGTATTTTCGGTGAAAAGTATAGCAACGCTCGAATATCTCCAAACGCCGCTTAAGCACATTCACGAAATTTGGTATCTGGGGGTTTTTTGGGTAAGCAAAATTCAACCGTGATATCGGCATTGTTGCCAGACTTTTCAGTTTTGCGCTACACGTAGTTATCTTGAATAGAATGCCCCATTTATTTTTATTGCAATAAATTGGACGTGCCAAAATTAATAAGATTCCAAATTTTCAGTATTCTATCTCTAGTAGTTGCTGAAATATGCCAACACCGCATTTTCTGTGAACTGTATCGCAACGCTTGAATATCTTTAAAACCGACTTAAGCTCGTCCACTAAATTCGGTACCTATCTGGGAATTTATAGGCAAGCGAAATTCAACTGTGAAATCGGCATTGTTGCCAAGTTTCCCAGTTTCGCGCTACACTTAGTCTTTTTGTTATCTTAAATAAATTAATTTTTATTGCAATAAATTGGTTCAAATTTCAATGAGATTCCAAATTTTCAATATGCTGCTTGTACTGTTAAATACTACTATAGTGATAATCATTCTGGGATAGTTACCTACCTATTTCGGGACGAGCCGTAAACTTATCGGAAATGCCCGGAAATATGAATACCTCATGAACAAGTAACATGTATTATTGAAAGAAAAAAAACCATAAGCCACGAGCAAGACTATGTGTAGCGCGAAACTGGGAAACTTGGCAACAATGCCGATGTCACAGTTGAATTTCGCTTGCCTATAAATCCCCAGATACCGAATTTACGGCCATTTGCACCGTTATAACTTAAGGGATATTTATTCCAAGTAAAGCTTTGAATGTGACTCTTGTAGCAACAAAAGTCACATTCAAAGCTCCACCAGATTGAATATCCCTTAAGTGATAGTTAAGTGATAGTCATGCAAATGGCCATTAGTGGACGAGCTTAAGCGGGTTTTTAAAGATATTCAAGCATTGCGATACCGTTCACTGAAAATGCGGTGTTGGCATATTTCAGCAACTAGTGGAAGAGAATTCTGAAAATTTGGAGTCTTATCAAATTTGGCACGCCCAATTCATTGCAATAAAAATAAATGGGGCATTCTATTCAAAATAACAAAAAGACTACGTGTAGCGTAAAACTGAAAAGTCTGGCAACAATGCCAATATCATGGTTGAATTTTGCTTGCCCAAAAACCCCCAGATACCAAATTTCGTGAACGTGCTTAAGCGGAGTTTGGAGATATTCGAGCGTTGCTATACTTTTCACCTAAAATACGGTGTTGTCATATTTCAGCAACTAGTAGAGATAAAATTCTGAAAATTTGGAGTCTTATCAAATTTGGCACGCCCAATTCATTGCAATAAAAATAAATGTGGCATTCTATTTGAAGGGGGTGTGCGCCAAAAAAACAACTTCATCTAAAAAAAAAAAAGAAAAAAAATCTAAGAATAACAGTGAAAACCGCATCCCTCTATGACAAATAATACCGAAGATATGGCTCTATAAAGATACCGAATCTCACCCTATGACGTCACGAAAGCTCAAGCGACGCACGAGAAAGTGAAGTAAATTGAATTTACATTATGTTTTTCCTGTGTCGCCTGCAATAATCTAAACAAAAATCACACGCGTGCCGTGAACACTCAAATTAACAATGCGGAGCGCGGCTGGACGAAGATCTCGTGACGTCACACACACTTTAAAGCGGTATATCTCAGCAATGGTTTATCGTAGAATAACGAGGTTTGAACAGTTATTCTTAGATTTTTTTTACACTAAAACTTTAATATTTGGCGCACACCCCTTTTAAGATAACAAAAAGACTACGTGTAGCGCAAAACTGGGAAATCTGGCAATATTGCCAATAGCACTGTTGAATTCCGCATGTCTGAAAACTGTCAGATTCCAAATTGTGTGAACGCGGCTTAAGCAGTTTTGAAGATATTTAAGTCTTGCAGTAGCAGTACTTTTTACTAACTCTGTATATATTTTTTTCTTATTTGAGTTGTAGGGACCTGGAGCCAGATAACATCCTGGAGCGTGGTAATCTCTATACACTCACACTCACACTGCACATGTATTGTCACATCACAGATTTCTGATTTTTCAGATATTCCAAAAATTCTATCAGTACTTTCATTAATTAATGCCTTTATGCCACGATCAACAGTAACAGTGTAACAGTTTCACCTTCTTTCTTTTGAACTGACATGCTTTTTATTTGATTAGAAGATGAAAAATATTTCTTTGCCGACATTTCGACCTAAATTAGGTCATCCTCAAGGCACAAAAAAATATTTTTATTTATTTATACCGCTTTCATCATTTCCAATACTATTATTTTTTTTTTTATCCAATCCAATTTTAAATTAAACAGGATCACAATGGATCGATAGGCCTTGAACTTGAATAAAAAAAATTCCAGGTTCGGGATCATGGGGACTTTTCAACGTTCATTTATAATGTTGTTCCGAACATTCATACCAATTTTTAACTCTATGCGAATTTTTGTAGCTTCACTACTATTTTTGGTACCTAGTAATTTGGCCGGATTAGTATAAATGTCATGCTATTAGTGTTTTCCTAGTTAGGTATAAAGGATTATTTAGTAGAGATGAGTTTGCCGTCAAAACATTGTTTTTTTACATTAGGGATTTTCTGGCTCTAGGTAAAAATAATTTCAATAAGAATATAATAATATAATATTCCATGACACAAAATTTGTCTAGGCTACCGAGCATCTATCTAATTTATAGTCTTTGATATTGAAAAGATTTAGATATTAAAAGTCAATAAAAAAAATGAGAGAAATGAAAAATTTATCATTTAAATAATTATGGCAAGCTTCCAAGAAAAGAGTGACGTGAGCAATTTCCAGAGTTCAAAAAAAAAATCCACGTTTTTTAAAAATTATTCATGCGGGAAAATGCAATTCTTGGCAGAAAGATGCAAATACAAAGAAGAGAAATATATTAGCACGAGAAGGTAGATCTAAAAGTAAAAATAATAATATTCTCAAACGTACTTAGAATTCCGAGACGAGCTGTTTCTATTCTTCGTTGACTTTTTAGTGGCCTGGCTGGAAGCCGACGCATCTTTTTCCAACCTCTGTTCTAGGTTTTCCTGCTCCTTTTGTCGGCTTTTGAACCTTTTTCCTGGTTTTCTTGTCGCTTTTATCGAGTTTTGGCCGCTAAAAGCATCCGCTGCCGCAATGGACACATCCTCGTTAATGGAAGCCGCCGGTGTCGGTTCCAGGTGTTGTTGCTTCTGCAAATTGAATAAATATTTAATTTTGGCTAAGAGCAGTTTCTCAAACCTAGAGTTTTGTTTTATTTCCCTAATCGCCAGTTGAATAATGAATGACCTAGCTTTCCCTGAAAGTTTCTAGCCTGATGTTGGTATGAAAAAATAAAAAATAAATACGTACCTTATTGATTTTCAATGTAGGAGCAGCAGTTTTCAAAATTCTCACGCTCTGAGAAGGTGCAATTTTGACCTTGTTAACATCTTTGGGTTGATTGTAAACATGCGAAGTACTTTGTAATACTTGTGCATATTTACCGTTGATGTACGTGCCAATTACATTGGTTTCATATGATGTCATTATTCCATCGTGGACTACCATACCTGCAAAGAAATAGTTATTTATGTATCAAGGGAATTATGAGGGTGTTAATACCCCAGGACAATGTTTGCCCGTGGGTATTAACACCTGATAATTCCCGTGGTACATAGATAATTTTATATCCTTCTACTGAATTTACCGTATTCTGTCTATTTTTATAAAGGAATAAACAATAAATCAAAATCTTTATTTTTTCTCAAAGTTTTACCTATTCAAGGTAAAAGCGGGAGTTATGGAAATCCTTAACTCCCTTGGGAGCTAAGACCCTGTTTATGATTATCGTATTCAAGGTATTATATGGTTATAATAGTTCAGTAGGATATAAAAATATTAATTCACTTTCCTATCTAATAGTTATCATCTTTCCGAAAACAACATTACCCACTCTTGGGAGAGATATAGAATAAGGTAACTGTCGATAGAATATTAACTTTTATTTGAGTATGACTCGTGTTGGGTTAGCTCAAGATAATCTGTATTATACAGACCGGACCAACCTACTAGACACTTAGGGAGTAATAAGACCAACTAGCTTTTATAGTTTATCTATTCCTATATAAATGTTTTGAATATTCCCTACAAGAAACTACAATCGACAGCATGATTATTTGCCTGGGCGACGCGACGGCGCGACGTCGGTTTTCAAGTGTGTCTATACAAAGTTATAACTTGGACCAGGCCTAAAATAGTGGTATGGTCAATATACTGCATCACATATTGAAAAATATAGCAAAATTTATACTGATTGCTCCTCGTACCCGTTGGAAGCCAGACAAGTAGGAATATCTAATTGGTTCCTTGTATACGTTCGATGCCAGTCAACGCAGACTCGATTGATCTGATTGGCCATTGCCGATTTTTGATTGGCCGACATACTGTTTCTGTTCATGCCGCTTTGTGGGGCGATATGATTGTCGGTGTGAGAGACAGTGCAGTGCATAACCTACTCTAGTTTGTTCGATTAGTTTATTAGGCATTAACTTTAGTAGTGTTTTTTGAAATTACGCCGCCCATGTTTGACAAAGAAAAAGTCGACATGCCGGGATTTAGTTTTTATACTAGTCCAAGTGAATTCGTATAGACTTGATGTTTTTGTCAGAGGCGGAGGCAGGTTTATACGAACTGATAGTATTAGGATGGCCTTTTTATGACCGCTTAAATCGGGAAAGTGTAGGAAACTCAAATAATACCATTATTAAAAGAATTATTGAGCTTACTAAATTATCACGTTCTACAATTTTTCTTGTGATTAAACAAGGTACTGTAATAGATCATGGGTGAAACGAAAACGAACGAAAGTTGATGATGGTGACAGAGATGTTATTCGGCGCATTGTTTATGGGTTCTATGAACAGAATACGGTTCCAGCATTGAATATGATTCAGGAAAAACTAGAAGAATATCCAGATTATAAGTACAAGTGTTTAGAAACAATACGAAATGTGTTAATGAGCTGTGGTTTAAAATACAAAAAAAAATGGACAACAGGATGGTTACAATGGAATCACAGCGAATAGTTCAATTGTGTGGAGAATATCTTCGACAAATGAAACAATTTCGTGAAACAAACCCATAACCCATAGTCTACTTACTAGACGAAACATGCTTTGACACCCATGATGTCGTTCGCAGTGGTTGGGTAGATGAATCAAAAAATTGTTGCCTAAATGCGCCATGCTCAAGAGGAAAAAAGAATAATAATTTTACACGCAGAGAGTGGAAATGACTTTGTACCAAATGCGTTGTTGCTCTCAGGCAAGAATATTGCACAGTCTTCAGCGGACTATCACGAGGATATGACAGCAGTTTTGTTCGAGAAATGGTTCAAAGAACAGCTTTTGCCAAAGCTCCAGCTAAATTCCGTTATTGTTATGGACAATGCGTCATATCACTCTCGTATTTTTTATAAAATACCAAATATGAGCACCAGAAAAGAAAACATTCTAAAATTTTTGAGAGATAAAGGCATTACAATTCCCGAAAAAAAAAACCTTTAAAATCAGAGTTAATTAAAACCATAAAAACTTATAATTTAAATATTTCATAGATGAACTCTGCAAAACACAAGGCGACATACTTCTTAGACTTCCCCCTTACTATTGCATTTTCAATCTTATTGAATTATTTTGGGTTAACATCACATTTAGCAAAAATGTTCAAAGCTAGCTACAAATTAGGCCACGTTCCCACCAGTCGGCGAAATGTGAATGTGGTCTTCATTCCAATGGCGTCCTACAGTACAGCCTAAATCATTTAGACAAATAAACCTAACCTCATTTCTCACAAAAACTATAAAGAGAATATTTGATCATCATCAAGAGTGGAATAAAAAGCCCGCACAATCAAGTCAAGGAACCGCTCTATGCGCATTCATTGATATAGAGGGAGCTTTCGATAACACCACACATGAACCCATAAGAAGAGTGGCTAGAAATAAGAGTTCCGCTCTCCGTAAGAAGAGAGGAACTCTGCGAACGATTCTAGTTGATCTGGCTGAAAGTTCGTTGAGCCCAGATTCCCGGGGATGGGCGTTACTTCGAACCGCAACTCGTTCGGTCAAACGAGGATCCGGGCACGGCCGTCTGCTCAAAGGTGTAACCTGAGTAATACCCGTAGTCTCACTAGTTGGCGTGAGCGAAGGACCCCTGTCTACCCTATCCCAGAAATCTGGGCAACGGATGACTGGGGTGTTTAGAAAGCTAGTAGGGGGAAACCCCGATCCCGGACATTGTCGAGGGATAAGGAATTCACCTAGTGACCCCCTTTAATACAAGAAACTACGGTGCTGAGTCGACCACATTCCGGTGCCGGTAAAAATGCTCACCGCTTTGCTGATTCCAGGGTTCATAGTTGAAAGGCACAAGCGTGTATTACTCGAGATGTGGTAGCTACTCATGAAAGTGGGTAGCGAACGGTGACTCGTCAAAACTTGGTGCCTTTCGTAGATGTTGGACTCTGGGGGGCAGTTACGACTAGCTATGATAGTTGATAGGTAACAAGAAGTGTGAAAGCCGAAAGGTAAGACGCGTAGGTGACTCTAAGTCATGTCCGGCAGCACTTAAAGCTCTAAGTAGCTGTCACTCAGTCCAGACTGGTATGGGACTGCCAACAACTCCTAAAACAACTGGCGTCCCGCAATAGAATCACCTTGTCATGGGTATCCCGGCACCGAGGAGTCGAAGGGGATGCAATAGCGAACCAACTTGCAAGACAAGGAGCTGCAACACCATTTCTTGGACCAGAACCTTTTTTTGGCATAACGAAAAGCCATATTATAATGGGGGAAGTCTAGATTTAGGTGAAGACTCAACAAGCCTAGGTTAGAACAGAATACGCTTCCAGGACTCAGACAGGCGAAACAATTCATTTCTCTCCAGTCAATAAAAGCAAAGGAAAGCCCGCACACTCAAGTGTAAAGCGGATATAAGGCTGCTCACAGGTCACTATCCTCTAAGTAACCACCTGACAAAGATGGGCAAAACAGAATCAGATCTATGCCGCTTCTGTGAGGAAGCCTCCGAGTCTGCGGAATACATACTTTGCAACTGTGAGGCATTGTGCCGAATGAAAACTCATCCATCTGCAACAGCCCTACTTAGCGGATGTGGATGTGAAAGAGGCCAATCGCAGGAACATTATAGGCTTTGCCAAAAGCCTTAATCTGGCAACCCACTAGATATAAAGGAAAGCACAATAGATCTAATTAGGTTCCATAGCCTAAACACTCCAACCATCACAATCTACAATCTATTGGTTGGGTAGCTGCAGCAGCAGGAAAGCTAATGACAACTCAGAAAAGTCCTCACCCAAGATGCCAAGCGATCCGTGTCGATAAGTGCATGACGGTGAGGGATGCACCATCGCAAACGGAGCACCTGGAGAACTAGTCAAAATCCCAGAGTAGGTATCCAGACTTACTCTTGTGCAAGGGGCTTCGCACCAGTGGAGACACATCTCCCGATTACTTGTGTGATAAAAAGCGTATATACTCGTTTGTTAGAATCAACACTAATGATCCAACACAACAACCTGAACCTTCAACTAGATGAAACTCTTCCGTAATATGACAGTTTTAGAATGACATTCTTCCTCTTCCTAGATCGTGGATGAGTGAAGAAATAATGCAGGCCTCTGTTTCCTACGCCAAACCTTTCACCATAACTTTTTTTCAGATTCCTACGCAAAATCATATCAACTAAACATTCAAATTGTGAAACAATAAGTAAAGAGAATTCAACTTTCAATTAATCAAAAATCTCCTCAAGAAGAAAATATTTCGATAGGCCACTCTGTAGATATGTAGTGTTATTTATTTTTAATGCAATAAATGTACCTATCTTTGTATATTAAGGTTATTGGATACCAAAATATTGCTGGTATTATTGGTCAATAAAAAATATCGTTCATTCCACCACTAAATTATTTTGTTTTTATTTAGCTCAAAAGCCAAGCCAAGAAAGAAAGTGAAAAAGGAGCTTAAAAAGTCAGTCTATCGTAAAGAGCAGTTTTAATTTTTAACTGATCTCAAGCGTATCGTTTTAAAAGTGGCATTACCTTCCATCTTAGAAACCAATCCGGTGGGGTGAGCATTATCAGCTTTCTTAGTTGCTTTGTTGTTTTTTGGCTCGGCTGACTGACGGGGTTTCAAATGGAACTTTGAGCTCGGCCTCAAGTTTATTACTTTGTACGTTTCCTCTACGACTTCTGAGGGTTGTCTGGATAGAAAATCGTACTCCGGCTCGCCGATGTTATTTCCGATAATCAATGCCGGTTCGTCGTCTGACTTTACTTGAACGACACTGTGCAGGACAGTTTGAGTTGGTTTTTCTTCCGTTACTACTTCGACTTTGCTCGCTATAACCTGAAATGGGGTAAAATAACTGTCAAACTTAACCTTATTTATTTTAAGTGATATTACCACAGTTGAAATAAAACTTTTTGAAAATCTTCTAAAGTTAAACTTTTATGGAGAAAACTAAAGAAATTGACAAAAATAATTGCATTTAAATTCTGCTATCTCGCTATGATATGCATATGGAATTGTTACTTACCGCTTTAGGGGCTTCCGTAACAACCTCTACCTTTGTGATTACGTTCTCCTGTATAGTCGGCTTAGCCTCTTCAATAACCTCAACTTTACTTACTATTATCGGCGGTGGCTTAGGCTTTGACGGAGCTTTATTTTCAATTACATTCGCTTCAGTGGCTGGTTTAATTTTAATCTTGCTTGGCAATTCTGGTAAAGGATTTACCTGAACTACAGAGGATATTTTCTGAGTTTTTTCAGTCGCTTCTTTGACTTCTGGGTGTGGTTTTGAAGGGGCGATATTAACTACTTGGTTTTTTGAGACGACTGGTTTCGTGTCGATTATAATGTTTGAGGAAACATCTTTTGCTTTTTCTAAAAATATAAATATTCAATATTTTCAATAAATCTGCTATAAAAAGTGAAATATTGACTAAACCTGGTACAGGAGAAGCACTTTGCGGAGAAAATATCATAACTGTGTTGCCAATCGTCGTCGTGAAATCCAAAAATCCGTAAACAGTTTGCGTTTGTAGATTTTCATTTTTGATCACTGGTGTCGCTACTTGCGCTGTTAGGTCCGAATTAATAAATACTTGACCATGAGAACAAGAAAGAAGATTTACTGCAAAAAAAAATACTATCGTAAAAAACTAAGTCAATGGTGTGAATAATTGCAGTTTAATTGCATTTTTGCTTCAGCCTTAAAATACCTATCGCCGCTCTAATAGATATTACCCAGTTCACCCATATCTGGACAAAATCAATATCAAAATAAGCTGTAATACTAATTGAAAGAATTTTTATTGTCAATTGATAATGTGTTTTTGTTCTGTGTTTAAGAAAATCTTTATTTCTATATCAAAAATATGTTTTTTTTTCTTTTCATAAACCTTTTAATTGAAATAACTTTAACATAAAATTTGAATTTAATATGACAATCATAAATAAATTAATGGAGCTTTGCATTGTATTTAATTTTTTGCTTCAATTACTATTTTAAATTTGATATCTCGTTTAAATATTAAAAATAAATAAACTTTGATTTTCATATCTACGTATATACATATTATACATATTGTTCGTCGATTTTAATTTGATACTCGGACGGAATGTGAGCTGGTGGCTCCCTACATTAGAACGCCAATGGTTTCCTGACGTTACACCTGTTTTTGCCATATGAAACACCCCCTCGCTCCTCATACCGCAAGTATCAGTTAAAAATGGACGGACAATAATGTATAATGACAAGGAAAAGGTTCATTGGGAAACACCTATAATCTAAAGAGTAAAAAACCGGGCTAAAGTCGCTTCCTTTCGATGATTTTTTTTTACGTTAGAACAAAGTGATACATGTCTCATTTCATTAGATAGGTCATTGTTCAATTTATTCCTTAGAAATAACAAGATACTACATTTTTGTGCGGTTCAGTTTTTTTTTATTAACAAAAAACCGTGGAAAGTTTGATTTTTTAAATCATGTAACCAATATTCAAGAGCAATTCGTGACATAACTTTGGCTGCAGATGCCTTTAGACTTTTTCTTAGGTCTTTATTCGAGTAGTGTGATGATCCACAAATACTACCTTCCTTGAATAACGATGTTAGAAATATTCTATTTGATTTCAAGAACTCTGTCTTTATTAAAACAGATATTGAAATTTTCCTAAAAAAACTTGAGCCATTACAGGGGCATATTGAGGAATTTATTGCAGAAAGCTTTATTACTTCATCAACATTCAAATATTGGCATTCCTTCCTTGTCAGCGCCGACCTTCTTTGGAGATTATTACAGTCAGAAAGAAATGGTGATTTTGAATCCCATATGTGTGCAGTATATGACACATTACCATATCTTGCAGCAGCTGGTCGTAATTTGTACTTAAAATGGATACCTGTTTGTTTATCTGATATGGAGAATCTGAAAAAACTTTCCAGGAGTGTAAATATTTTAATCTAAAAGAAACTTCGTTATAAAAGAAACTAGTGAAAAAAAATTTAATTGTGTGGCCTCAGATATGGCTCTTTAACAGTCACTTAACAAAGATTGTAAAAGTAATTCTGGAGTAATAGGATTTTCTCAGAGACCTGGTACACTATTAAGGTGGCTCACAACAAGGCATTTATTGGGAGATTATTCAAAAAATTTTTTAGGTATATATAATTGTTATTTCTAGTACACTTCCATTAATTTATTTTTTGTACCTATATATGCTACGTCAACAATAAATAAACCAACAACCTTTTGAGGAAAACCACCTATTCAACATATTATTTCTTTGAATCTTAACTTAAAAAAAAAAAACGTTTACTGGATAAAAGTTTATGTTGCAACCATGTATGCGCCCTCAAGTTTAGGAGTGACCACGTTCGAGCCACAAAGAACGGTACTGCAAACAGGAGACAGAAGAAAGGAGCGACTAGACTAGAGAAGAAGCGGGACTCGGGGCTGGTCCCTTAAGATGTTTGTCCGCCATTGTTCATTGTTCAATTTTTATTTTTCACTTTGTATTAAATTGGATTGTTCAATCCAGTTTGTGATTAGTTTGTGTGTCAAGGAGCGATCACAGGTCAGTTGAATAATTGTTATTTTGTTTTTGAGAGTTCAATTCATGCAAGTACCTATTATTTTGTTCATTTTTATGTATTTTTAGTTTGTTTATAACATTTGTTATAACATGTGAATGGTTCATGTATTTAACAAAAATCGTTTCCTGCTGTAAACAACACAGATAAAGGAAGTAAATTAAAACCTAAGAAATTATGTGCTGTCTTTTTGTGCTGAGATTTTGATTTTCTGTATTCAGAACGTGCATTAGGGCCTTGTTGAATTTACTAACATTTTCCTACCCTGACGAGCGAATATCCTACCAAACAAAGGAAAGAGATATTGGCTCAAAATAACAACTATAGCTGAGTAGCATCCCGTATGGGACCTCAGTAGCCTCCGGCAGTCCGGCTAACTAACCAAAAACTCTTCAGTATTGATTATAGGTAGTGTTTATTGGTAGTCAATTGTGAATACTTTTTTAGCATAAGAACAGGGGCGGTACCTAGTTTCAACTTTTATTGAATTATTGACACAATTAATTATTAAAATGACATGTATGTTTCGATTTTTGAGGAATATTCGATCGAGGGTTTCTCTGGCGTTCTCTTTCCCCTCGAGAATTCCAGTTCGAGAACGGTGCGTTTTTCTTGTGATAGTAAAAGTAAAGAAGACGTTTCACAAATTGTTCTTTTCTTTTACATATCACAGCTTCCCTTATATTTCCCAAATATTTGCTATGTCGGTCGGGCGCATGTCCAGTAAGTAAAATTGAGTAAGTTTCCACAACGTAGTTCCTATTTGTTTTTCATTTCGTTTTTCGGAAGATTTGTTGTTTAAAAGGTAATAAAAATTCTCACCGTTCACACTTACTGAACGAACTCGGGTATGTTATACTACACTTTGCAGACCACTGTAAAGCTTTAAAAAATTAAAATGGTAATCAGCTTAGAGAATGAATGGTGCAACTCATTTAATTTGAGAACATTACCAACAAAACAGCTCATAAATATATGTACAGAAGTTGCAAATGACGAAGTAGAAAAAATCTTAGTAGTTTTTTGGAAACAGCTACAGTAAAGGTTAAAACCTTATCGGAAAAATTTCCTAAAGTTAGCTTTTACAAACCGATGAAAAGAGGCAAAGTTTCAACATTCAAAGATATGAAAGTAAAACCCAAAACCACCTCACAGAAAACATTTATCGGCTCCGGATACATATTTAGGAGGATATGTTCCACTCGTTTCCAAGAAATGGATTTGTCAAACATTTTATCTTACGAACTTTCCTCTGTCCCGGCTTCTATGTTCCATGAAGATGGAGCCATGCGCAAATCTACAAAAGTCATTTACGCACTTTATTGGTGTGTCCACCAATAGATTCATATTTCATTGATGACATGGTACTTATTCAGGAGTTAAAGTCATCTACGGTTTTAACTTCCAAGAATTTGGGGCATTTGGTTTTAACAAAAATTTTGAGCAATGGAAGAAAAAATGGTGCAAAATGTATTACAGTTGTATTTAATACATACACTACTAGTTCTCTTAAAAATGCTGAAAGATCCAATCGGGCCGACTCAAGGGCTGTCGATTTTAAGGTGACTGGTACGCGAAAAAATCCTAATTTTAAGGAATTTCTTGAATCATCCTCGAAAAAAAGAGCACTATTAGTTTATTCAAGCGACTACATTCTTCAAAATAGTTCCAATTTATTAAATAGTCATAAAAAACTAGTAATAGCTGGAGGATTCGAAAATCCGGAATAAGCGTTTCAAATTACCTACGATAGAAAACCAAAAAACTTCATATCACTGAACAGCAGTCAAGAGGAAGCAGACACTAGACTCATTCTTCATGTCTTGTCAGAAAGTTTGAACAGGAACTCCATTCTAGTGGAATCGGTAGATACTGAAGTGTTGCTATTACTTTTATACTTCTATAGTATAATTCCTGGACTTGAAACAAAGATAAAAACATTAAAAACTTAAACGAACTGAGATTTCTTCTAACAAAAACCTCAAACAAGCCTGCGCAATGAGGATGTGTTTGCGGGAATGTCAAAAGATCTCGAAGTCATGCTCACACGTAAAAAACGAAAGTTGGAATACTTTGGCGACATCCTCAGAAACGAAAAACACAGACTTCTCAAACTGATAATAGAAGGAAAGATCAAAGGCAGAAGAGGACCAGGGCGTCGAAGAATATCGTGGTTAAAGAATTTGCGACAATGGTATGGTGAGAATATGACAAGTCTCTTTAGAAAAGCGGTCGACAAAGTACAGATAGCGCTAATGATTGTCAATGTTCGGAGACGACAAGGCACTTAAGAAGAAGATCATTTGCCTACATTTTCTTGCATGTTATTTGAAATTCCCAGAAAGAAAAAAGTTTTTCGATTAGTGAAAATTTTCCTGCAAAATTTCTAATAGGTTTTTAGATATTAGAGTGGGAATATAAAAACACAAGATTTTTAAAAAGGAGAACTTTTCACAGTTTTTTGGAAAAAGAAAATCGGTACCGCAAAAAAAAAGTCGTATTTTTAAGTTTCATGTGTAGAATGATCTTGTTTACAATATCCAATAAGTTTGATCTTGTTCTAAGCTGATAAAAATAAACGACACAATTTTACCCATTATTTATTCCACTAATAAGTAATATTATAATAACCAATTTATATTTGTCGCTGTCAAACCGATATCAATCTATATTACCACATTACCTATATACGCAAAAAGATCTTTTTCTGCGATAGACAAGAAATGTCAGCATTTTTGACCGGTTGACAGGTCGCAAAACTCAATATTCTGGTATTTCAATTATGTTTCAATAATTGCTAAGGAATCAATGAATAACAATACGGGAAAGTGATTCTCGTATTGCTGAATAATTGGAACTAAAGACAAACATTTAACAGGTATTTAACCGATCGCAGAAAAAATAGTATCTGTATTTCGGTGGAAAAGCACATTCTCGGCCTTCGGTGTTTGCCGGCCTCGGCTACCCCTCGCCCGTCAACTTATACCGTCGGCCGAGAATGTGTCACTTTTCCACCTAAATACACAATATACTATTTTT